GTGTCACGCACTTGGCTTTAATAGATTTTTTTTAATAGATTCTAGATGCAAAATATGACGTCACACTAGGGGGGTGGGGGGAGACTTACGAACGTGACCATCTGTGACAAGGAGTGGGGAGGGGTCAAATATGACGAAATAAGTAAATTATTTGATAATTATAAAATAGAACCTGCCCGAAACGTCAATAAATAAATATATACACGCTGTTTTATCCGTGGATGTGGTTGAGTTAGTGGTAGAGGTGTTGGTCTGATCGATGGATCGGCGCTCTGTAATACAGAACTTTTAAAAACAGCTAGTCAGAATGTTAAAAGGCTAAATCTACAACCCAACTGCGAATCTAAGTCCACTATCAGTATCCACGATATATCCTCAAACAAAGATAAACAAAAGAATTGGCTACTCTAAGCTACTTACTATAATACTTTAATCCATTGACAATACACTATAAACGCTGAAGCGCCATTAGTACTCGTATATTACTATTTTAGATAAAACTGCCATTGAACAAATCACCACCGCCCGAACTGAGGTCGAACGCTTGTTTTGGGGTTTACGTTTTACCATACTGCTGGGGGTCTAAAATAGCGTCTCTCTTATAGTTCATGTTTAAATGGTTACCTAGTAAAATCTTACCAAATATAATAAATAATCACCAAAAAAATAATAGTAAATGATCACGAATAAAGACAACTGCCAACCTAATCTAACCTTTAGCTGTTTCGGTTTTTAATTGTGTTTTTTTTGTGATCATTTAATTTTTCTTGGTGATCGTTCAAATATAAATAAAATTAAATTAAGAATAATCTAAAGTGGGTTTCATTAATTAGGTCTTATATACTATTGATTACTATTTAAGACATAATTATATGAGAATGCGTAGAACGACCATGCACGTTTTAACCATTCTCATAAAATTCTGTGAAATTATAAACTTACAGAATCTATTTCATAAATTTATGTTCATTTAATATTTCTAGAACAATATCTCCCCATTACACGATTTCATAAAACGTAGAATGAACAATTTAATAAAAAACATGCAATCACGCTATTTTGGTCTCCCAAGCGCTATAAATAAGTCTGTCTGTAGTGTAAGATTAATAGAATTCAATCGAACACTATCTTTAGAGTTTCTATAGCTATGTCTGGTCTTTCGGTATCGTGGAGCAACACGGCCGACGCATGTTCGGTAACTACGTAAACTGAATCGCTGAAAAGTATGTAACCACCTACATAACTTTCGTAAGGTAAGACTGCACTAAATTGGATATATCTTTTTACCCGACTGAGCACGTATGCAGCGCGAAGCGCGACGTGCAGTGGTCTTTAACAGTCCATATAATATATGTATGTATGTTCCTTTGTGGCACATTAGAGACCAAACGCCTGGACCGACTTTCATGATTCATTCGTCAATCGATTCGTCTTAACCGTGGAAGTGCTACTAAAAACAGTCATGATAGTAATCGAAATTCAATAGGGGACTATTAGGCGCCATATTGTGGCAAAGAAAAGAATAAGTTGATGAAATATGTCGAGTTAATTGTCCATAATTCATTGTCCAGATAATCGACAATCATGTTTAGATTCCTTACATCTTTTTCCATTTCATGTGCTTGTTGAGGATCTGTAAACAACGATTTCCAGTTGAATAAGAACCATTTGCGCTATTAATTTCAATCTTACGTTTTTCTGGATCTCTGTTACTCTTTCACGCAATAACAACTGAATAAGTATTTCGATAAATGTAACATATGTAGTTAATAAATGGATTATAAATGAAATTGATAGTCTTGTCAATTAATTAATTGAAGTTTTGTCTTATAATCCTTATTAAAAAGTGTAATTACCTCGATAACTGGACGTTTTTTCTTTTCAGTTTTTATTAAGGTAATTTTTAAGCAGTCGGGAGTCTTGATTTTTTTAATTGTTTCATTATTGACAGGTTTGTATTAAAGAAAATTAAAACAAATCCACCAAAAAAAATGGCGGTAGAAAAGATTGTATGGTCAGCTAGTAAGCTAGCTTTAAATTCACTATAAAATTACATGGTAGAAATTTCTAAATCTCATAAAATAAAATAAAATAGAATTGTTAAATAAATATATACACCTTCATCATCATTAGCCGAAATTATGCTGGAATTAAAACTATCCCGTGTGATGCCTGCACCACGTGGATTTTCTTACTAGTAAATATTTTCTTTTTATTTGCAACAAGTGAATATTTATAAAGTGCCGGTTATTTTCGTCATACAAATAGTAAGGCTAAGACCACACTACAAGCTTCGCTACATGCTTTACTACCCAAGCTACTCGCTTAGAGACTAATCCAAGTTGGCAAACGTACGCATACTATGGACGTTGGGCAGCTACAAGTGACACAGCAAGATTACTATCCTGTAAGCTTAGCATCAAACTTGGCACTTGTAGTGTATAAAACAAGTTTCAACGGGTATCTAACACTGATATTATTTATAAATAAAATAAATAAATAAAATCAGTGCATCTAACCCGTTGAAACTTGTTTTATTTAATGAGTGATACATGTGCGTTAAAAACCTAAGAAACAAACTTGTAGAGTAGGTAGTCTTAGCCCAATAATACAGTTTAGGCTAGTGAATTATTGTAGGTAATTGATGAACTTTACCACTTCACGCCTCTGTTTAAGAAACCAATTATGATATTATTATAAACGGTGATTGATAACAGAGTAATCGCAATAAATTATTTAAATTTTATTGTTTTAAAGTCCAGGTCGTTTGATTAAGTACAGTCAACACCCGGGCAAGTTAATAAAAAATGGTGAAATTCCTCCAACTGACTTTTTACCTTAAGTCTGCTTGATATAAGTTTCACAGTAGATTGAGAAAATGCGATATTTTGCAGTAACCTGATGTGTTGTTGTCACTACACATTAATTTAAAACTTATTAAATAATTATCTGGAGTGACACTGATAAAATAATTTAAAGTATGTTTAAGATCAAAGATCACGAATTGCCTACTGAATTTGAAATCTTTTGTTAAAATATTAATTGATAAGACAAACCCATATAGCAACAAGTCAAATTTTATTGGAGTATAAGGAAAAGTTTTATATAATGTCCCAGTCACGATAGTACGTTTCCCCAATCTCCAATTCATTTATAATAAGTTCAAAAGGACGAACGGTCAAGTTAATATCAATATTGTATCGAAGTCTCGGTAATAAGTATAATAGGAAGAACGAATACCGTACTGAGTCTTTGTAGGCGCATGACGCTTTTATTTATTGACATACAGACGACCGACAACAAGTTTAGTTAAAAGTAAACTAGAATGACTTGCCGAACTTGACGTTACCAAATTCTATGTCGCTTCGGTTCAACAAACAATACAATTTACTATCACATTCAAGAACCCAACCTACAGTCATAGTCACAGAACACAGAAAGAGGTTAGAAGGGCCTTGTGGGCGGGGCAGGTGCGCCACAGTTATGTGTGAGCCAATGCTCATAACTTGACCAAAACTTGGTTCTGAATGCGTCGTTGCGCTCGGGTGTAAGCGCTGATTGGGTCGATTGTTTGATGTCGCGTCGTTCGATTGGCTATTATCTATCAGGTGGAAGAGTAGTGAGGGCGAGCCGGCGACATCTGTTCCCGTACAAACGGTCTATGAGCACCTTTCTAACATCTATGTGTTCTGTGATCATAGTAATGCTACAGTCCTCAAACCATAGATCCAACACATTGAACAATCATTGACAAATTTAGAGGAAAGTTAAGAACAAAAAATAAAAATCTACTTTATAAAAACAAAACCACTAAAAGGTAATAAAATAATACATATTCTTTACTTATACCTAAAGTGCACATTTGGAAACTGTGCCATGCATGTTGATAGGTCTGAGTTACCATTTGCTGCTTGGGCTGGCATGGAACTGCCTCGCCAAATTTTAATTTTACTTATAATTAACTTCCTATATAAGAAAAGAAATATACCTATTAATATATCCATGCTAAAGATTAAGTATTATTTTTACTTTTTAGGGGTTGGCTTTGTTATTTTGCAGTCGGTTTTTATTTTTGTTAAAAAAATTTTATGTAAGTCATGTTACAAGTGAAAGACAAATAGGTAAATTAAAATTTGCTTTTAAAATCATCTCATTTTGTTACATTTGCAAAAAAATAACTGTACATACTAGTACAGCATATAATATATTGCTTACAAAATTCTTTAAAGATTCTGTCATTCATCTGCAGCAATTTGAGAAACAATAAGGCGAGATAGATTTTCGTAATGTCACAGTTACGTGTATACGGTATTAGATACATATATTTTCCAGTGAACATTATGATTAAGTCGTTTAGCACGTCATTAGCGCAATAGAGCTAAATGTTGTGTTTATTCTTCAAGGTTTGCTCTTCCAACGAGTTAAGCGTGTTCGGACTAATGAATGGTTTTGTGAAAACGCGTCACAAATAAATAATTATAACGAATTAAAGCCAACTCTCACATCCGTCACCATGATGTTCATTAATTTTATAGGCTATATTAATATACTACAATCAACACTATCATCACAAAAATGTTGGTCACAGTCAGGCTTAAACATATAACATGGTTTAATTAAAACAGTTTCAAAAATGTTTGTGGTATTAACCAAAGGGTCTAATTTTTTTGCAATTGTTGGATTCTAATCCACATTTAAAACATACCCGAAGAGAATCATTCTTAAAGCGAACAAATGCAAACTTGTTAACTTGTACAATATGTACAATTTCAGTATTTGTAAGTTGTGACAAATGCATTCACGTCTAACAATTGCGTAAATTACGTGAACACATTGCCTTAATTGATAATCTACATTTTTTAATTTCCATGATTTGGGTATAAGATAAATAAACACCGATTTAATGAAAATAGATTTCGATAGATTACTCTTGCGCCTGGTTAAATCATGGAATACATTAAATGTATAAGGTAAAATAAACCACTTTTCTTTTGTTTCAGTATGATTTGAGTACCCGGGTGGCTGCAACTAGAGAAAAAGCAGAGATGGAGAAACCTACAATGCACATGCTCTCCGTGCAGGAGAAGGGGGGCCAGACACGGCAGACGACCCAGTACGTGGCAGCCGTTGCAGGTATTAACATGCATACTACTATTTACATTAGGTCATTAGGTATTAGTATTAGTCAATATAATAATTATCCCATTTCTTTTACAACATCTTTCTTTCTGTGGACTAAATCCCAAGCTTACAACAAAAATCGCTTACACCCTACGTTTTTGGAAGTCGGTTATAAAGAAAGCCAGCCTAAAACTCATTCCTCAAGTCCTGTGGAAATTGCTGTTAATCGGGGCCACATTTACCCTAGGGCCAAGAGGGCCAAGGCCTGGGGCGGCAAGTTGCCAGGGGCGGCTGCAAGAGAACTGTAAGGCGGGGGCGAGGGCCTGAAGCCATATACTGGCGTTCGTTACTGACCGAGATTTTCAAAATACGCCCCTTTGTGAAAGACTGTAGATGTGTAGATCCCGCTGGAACAACAGTTTAACTTGCATTCAGGTGGACATAATTTATTTTTCTCAAAAAAATAATATAGGAAAAATCCATTTTGATTTTCATTCATTAGAAACGAATCCCTTCGCTATTCGTGGCCTTTCCTACGAACAGTAGAATAACACGGTGGCAACAGACTATAACCCACCACGCGGGCCCAGTGCGTATGAATAGTGGCTTATAAATCACAATTTAACGTTACTTAAGGAAAAGATAACACTAATATAATATTTCCATAAATTGACATTGTATATAGATAAAAGAATGAAAGTTTGTGATTGTGTTAAATATTTGTTAATTGTATTTGCTGTATGTCTTGTCTATGTCTGGGCAGACACAGACACATTGTAAATAAAATAAATATCGCCAAAAATTATACAGAAGACTTTACGAATGAATTTTAATATGTATTACAGAAATAGCTAATCGTACGTCTCTTGTTTGTGTATAAGTGTATTTAATTAAGATATTTGACATTTAACACGTTTTGGTTGCGTGGTTAGCAAAGCGGATTTATTCCTTTTAAATCTAAAATAGTATCTTCCCTGTAGAAAATTCCAGCCAAATACACTATTGTGCCTAGTAATATAGCCGGAAGACTTAAATTTTAACCCAAAATTAAATGTCCGCTGTAGATTCTACGGTCAACTATACACAGAACATTATTTTATATAAAAAGAATCTGACAGCGGTGGGATTCGAACCCACGGCCACGCCCTTTCGGACTGGTGCCTAAAACCAGCGCCTTAGACCACTCGGCCACGCTGCCACAGAAATAACTGTCCAAAAAGCGATTGCAGTAACTAAGTATTATCAGTAGCGGATTTACCAGTAGGCTCAGTAGGCTGGAGCCTAGGGCAGCAGATTTTAGGGGGCGGCAAATTTGGCCCAAAATATACACAGAAAAACGAGTGACAAAAATTTTAATATTTTAGTAATGTACAGTATACTCAACACTCTTACGCCCGTAATCCGTATATAAAAGGTTACTAAGCGCACTGTAAAATATAGGTACTTAAGCGATCATGAATTTTTAAAATATTCCATATTCATTACAATTTAATTTTAGTATTTTTTTAACTAACGGGGAAAAGCCGACGTAATATGGACGATAGAACACAAATCATTAGATTGCAATTTCAGAATAAATATAATTGTGAACTAGCGTCTTGAATTTCAAAGGTCAGTAGGGGCGGCAAAAATTGAATAGCCTATTAGCGGCAAAATTGTAAATCCGCCACTGGGTATTATCCTAACTTGCATGCATGTATACTGTACCCTAAGCACGAACCACTATCGTATTCAAATACTTGAATTCGATCTAGATACACGTCAAATGTGTACCCTTAGCACGAACTAATATCGAATTCGTAACGTTTGCGAGTAGGAAATGTCATTGTCAAATGTGTACTGATTTTTAGTTCTCGTTATGCCCGTTATGGCGCTGCTGTTCAAGTTTCCATACAAAATTTGACAATGACATTGTGTTGGTGGTGTGTTGTGTGGGTTGTGGTTGTGGTGCAGGCAGTTTGCATTCGTAGTAATCTGTGGCATTCGTGCATTCTCGTCAAAAAGTAGGTACTTTTTATATACGGAAAATTCTCGTTTCGGATTACCTGTTGAGTGTGTTTATTTGCGATTGTTTTTCCTTTAATTTAACTTTTACTATTTCGGCTATCTAATATGCCATCGATGTTACCAAAAAGCAGAGACCTTATTACCAAGTGCTAGTGAACCTGTGCCACAACATCCTGAGAGGATCATACTGCCACATTATTCAAGAGCACCTGATATACATTCACGCTGCATATTTACACAATATACATGTGTTAAAGAAATAAATACAATATGATACAATTATGTCAAAAATAGCTAATAAATAATAAGAAGCAAACTACAGTTTTTATTTTATTCATGATTCCTACCTAACCAAGTTTTTACTAATAGTTACTCTTTAAAATCGCACCGAATGAAATGAATTACTTGTAATATTAATTCACTTCAAACTGAGTTCATACTAAGTTCGTAGGTTGACCTATGTTTCATTGAATATTAAACATAACGTCAAAAATAAACGTTTTCCTAATAATTTAAGTTCTCAGAAGTGTCCATCAATAATCTTTGTTTTTACAGTCATTTACTTGCGATTTCGAACCTAGAAAATAATATTTCATGATTGTTGGTTCTTAGGCTAGATATGTATGGACGCAGAACAATGACCTTTCTCAATGACATTTCACATTCGCAAACGTAACGAATTCGCTATTTATCCGTGCTAAAGGTAATGATTATTTCCATTCCATTTCCTCCATTTCCAAGGTGAGTATGAGATGTGGTATGAGTACGGACTGTGCGTTTCTCTGTTCTAAGATTCTAATTCTAAGAGAAATGAGGAACCTAATCTTCATCTTATTTTCAAAATCCTATTTTCCATACGTTTACTAGAAAATTTGCTGTATCGATTGAAAAAAATGTAGTTACATATTTGTTTCTTAGATTTTCACGCACATCACTCACTCACAATTCACATGTAGTTACAGTTTATATAGGGCGATTTGCTAATTTTCTTATTCATATTTAGATATCAATGGAATCAGAATTCACATGGAATTTTTGCAACGTATTGAGATAATTGTTAAGATAAATCAATTAATCGTATTGATGATATATGTTGTATAATAATCTGTCATATTATACTATTGATAAGGTTTAAATAAATAAGCCAATATTATCATAATCAATGAAAGAAGTCTTTACTGAAAAAAACATTATATTTAAAATATACTAATAAAAAAAATAAGTGTGTCATGGAACAAACCATGACTTACATTTACTTGCCCTATAATTTACTTGATACATACTTAAAGAATACAATGATAATTATTGTATATCTTTGTTCAACGCTGCCAATATTATTTCATGCGAGATTAGAGATTTTTTGTCGACATAAATAACAACTTAAATAAATGTTAACAACCCGCTCGACTCCGAAACTTTGGCAAAATATCTATTGTCTATTTATAAATATGAGAACATCACGTGAATGTTAAGTCACGTGAAAAACTAATAAATCATTAAATTTATATGATTTTTCTCATTTAGAATCAATTTTAATCACCTATATAATCCAATCCATTTTAATGGTAGATCATTATTGAATGATCTACTATCATTATCCGTGCGGTGACGGAGAAAGAATACAACTCACCGCCCCTTTTCTTCCCGTGGGTGTCGTAAGAAGCGACTAAGGGATGTCGGAGCTTCCATCCGCTCTTCTGGTGGTAGGGTGCCTAACACCCGCCTGGTTTGTTACCACCGTGCGCATGGTGAAAAACCCGTGAAGTGCTTCTCGCGAGTTTCGGGGTCAGCCAGCGTACAACCAGAGCTCGAGTGGAAGTTGTCGCGAAGGATTCGGTCCAGGGGAGGCATCCGTGGAACCGATACCGGGAGGACTGAGGAACCCGTCGGCCAGGGAGACCCGTAGAAACGGCTGTCCCGCTGGCCGCCCGTGGCACAGTACAGGGGCCCAAGCGTTCCTAACAAGTTCGCGAGGCTGCCCCATCATGTCACGCATAATCTCGGGGTGAACCGTCGTGCCGGTTGGTGACCGGGGCGTGGGGTCCCGGCGGCCACTCCCGGAGGGGTGCGGGGGCCCTTCCGTCCGGCGGGTCGGTGCATCTCCTCTGCAGGCAGTCAATCGGGAAAACAAACCTCCCTTATTTGCCCGGACTCTTCGCGACGGCGTCCGCTCGTATTCGCGTCTCTTTTTTTTCACTTCCACCATGGCAGCCTCAATTACAAAGTTTGGACGTACAGCGGTGCACACCCCCACGCCTTCAACGCTGTTTGAGGTCGAGTTCTGCAATATACGCGGGCTCCACTCTAACCTCAACGCTGTCCACCACCATCTCGAGACAGCACGGCCAGCATTGTTGTTCCTGACGGAGACACAAATACTTCCGCCTGCTGACACAGGCTACCTTAATTATCCCGGCTACGTGCTTGAAGGGTCCTTCAAAGCGAAATCCGGTGTATGCCTGTATGTTCGGGCGGATGTTTGTTGTCGCCGTCTCCGCTGCTTGGAAGATCCCTCCTTCTCCATGCTGGGGGTACACGTCGACTCTGGCCCCCTGGCCAGAGTCTACGTGTGCCTCTACAGATCCCACACCGGCGATGTTGAGACTCGACTTTTTGAACACCTTAGTCGGGCAGCAGATGACGCGCAGGAACAATTTCCCAATGCAGAATTGGTGTTTTTGGGGGACTTTAATGCTCACCACAATTTGTGGTTAAGTTCTTCCAAAACTGACCATGCAGGGATCTCTGCTCACACATTCGCTCTCACGCATGACTTGAAGCAACTGGTTGATTGATCAGCCCACCAGGATCCCAGATATTCCAAGTCAAGCGCCTTCTTTACTGGACCTTCTACTCACGACCCATCCACAAGGCTATCAGGTTGTGGTAAGAGCCCCCCTGGGCTCGTCCGACCACTGCCTGATATCTGCCAAAGCACCACAGGCCAAGCCTCCGCGTCCAGCAGTGGTCAAGCGCCGTATCTGGCATTATGGGTCGGCAGATTGGGACGGTATGCGTGATTACTTTGCGTCCGTCCCTTGGAAGCAGCGCTGCTTCAGTGACAGGGATCTATCGGGCAGTGCCGTTGCCATTACTGAGGAGATTATAATGGGTATGGAATACTATATTCCTCATTCTGATCTCATCAGTGAGGGCACACGTAACCTCTGGTTCAATCACGACTGTGCTGAAGCTGCTTCGCGTAAGCAAGCGGCATATCGTGCTTGGATAAGAGGCCGCGCTCTCAAGGATCCCGGGGTTGATTCACTCAAAGCAGCCTACAATTCTGCTTATAAGGCCTGTAAGAAGGCTTACATCAGAGCGGATACCCAGCATGTTGCACGTGTTGGCCAGGAACTTATAACGCATCCTGCGGGCTCCCATAGCTACTGGCGTTTGGCCAAGGCCGTGCAAAAAAAACTTCTGCCAGCCCTCGCTGCCACCTGTGAGATGCCCAGACGGAACACTAGCTCGTAAGCCGCAGGACAAAGCCGATTTACTGGCAAAGCTCTTTGCGGCTAACTCCCGAATCGATGATTGCAATGCACTGCCACCATCATTACCTCACTGTGGCACAACGATACCTGATATTAAAATCAGGCAACGTGAAGTTCGTATCGAATTGCAATCGCTCGACGTCCGGAAAGCTAGTGGACCAGATGGCATCCCAGCAGTTGTGCTTAAAAAATGTGCAGCGTAGTTGTCTCCCGTGCTCACGCGCTTGTACCAATGCTCGTATTCTTTGGGGCGTGTGCCGGAGACTTGGAGAGATGCTAACGTGCAACCGGTGCCCAAAAAAGGGGATCGCTCATACCCGCCAATTACCGGCCAATAGCAGTCACCTCAGTTTTATGTAAAGTTCTAGAAAGGGTCCTTAATAACCATCTGACCCGCTACCTAGAGGATCACTCCCTGATTAATGATCGTCAAAATGGATTTAGACCGAAATGATCGACGGGTGATCTTCTAGCGTATTTAACTCATCTCTGGGGTGAGGCTATCGATAAGCGTGGCGAGTCGTTGGCTATCAGCCTTGACATTGCCAAGGCGTTCGACAGGGTCTGGCACAAAAGCCTTCTCTCCAAGCTTCCGGCATACGGTCTGCCAGCCCAGTTCTGTTCTTGGGTAGCTGACTTCCTGCATGAGCGTAGAATTCGTGTCCTTACGGATGGTAGCAGTTCGCGGTTCATGTCAGTGAATGCCGGCGTTCCCCAGGGCTCCGTCCTATCCCCCACTCTCTTTCTGCTGCATCTCAATGACTTGATTCCTCTTGGGAATATTCATTGCTATGCAGACGATAGTGCACTGTACTATGACGATATGCGGGGTATCTCGGACAAGCAGCGGCTGGGCAGGCAGTAACCAAGGAGAAACGGGAAAATCTTGTCATTGAACTCAATCAGGCTTTGGACCACATTTTGGTTGGTTGGAAGGAGGAGGAACTTGGTTGAGTTCAATGCCAAGAAAACTCAGGTTTGCGCTTTCACGGCAAAAACATCGCCATTCCTTCCCCTTCCATCTCTTTAGGGTACAACACTACCGCTGCAGAGCAACATTTCCATGCTCGGTATGGAAGTTCGCTCAGACCTGAATCCAAAGGACTACATCGAAACCGTGATCAAAACAGCTTCACGCAAACTCGGAGTCCTGAACAAGGTGCGGCGTTTTTTCACGCCCGATCAACTTTGCTTGTTGTACAAAACGCAAGTGCGGTCCTGCGTGGAATATTGCTCGCACCTTTGGGATGGCTCCGCCAAGTACTTGCTCAATGCTTTGGATAGGTTACAGCGGCGCGCGATCCGCATCATAGGCGATGAGGAGGTGACTAAACACCTTGAGCCTCTTCAATTACGCCGTGACGTGGCGTCACTATAAGCGCGTTCTATCGTTTGTACCACGGCGAGTGTTCTGAGGAGTTATTCTCTCCTATCCCACCTTCCCCTTTCCTTCAGAGGACCACGCGCGCTGGCCTACGTTGTCACCGTTTTACTGTGGCCACAATTCCAACGCGTACAAAGAAATTTGGTGACTCATTTCTATGTCGCACTATCCGTAAATGGAATGCTCTGCCCGCTCACGTGTTCACTCCCTCTTACAACCTGGGATCCTTTAAAAGAGGCGCGAAGAAGCAACATGCAGGCCGGCAGGGTGAGGATGGCTGGTGTGGCAGGTAGAACTGCTGTATCAGCTATCTTCGCGTTTGGACTTCACCTTCACTTAACATTAGGTGGGGTGGAGTCATTTGTCGGACCTATCTTTAAAAAGAAAACATTGATCTATGGATATTTATTTATTTTATTGAATAAAATATCCATAGATCAGTTACATGAGTAATTAAATTTATCAAATAAGTAAAACCAATTATGAGACAAGGATATGCACTGCATTTGTGTATATCACAATCTTAGAGTTGCATTCAGCCACTGCCAATTTTAGATAGGCGACGAATAAAAGTAAATGTTTTTTTTAAAAGAACATAAATCAAAAGATGACTTTTTGAATAAATACAGAAAATAAGTACTAGTTTAGTTTAAAATTTACATTCATTAGATATACGGATAAGGAATTGATTTAACTTTACACATTCTTGGAAAATTAAGGCCTTGACCCTGATGGTAAGGTGTCGTTTAGACCACCGCAAGGTACTTAATAATCCGCTTGATATTAACACCCTTATTGAAGTGACAAGACTGCAGTATATACCGTCTTGTAATCCTTAATAAAAAAGGTAAATTTAAAAAATCAAAAACAAACGTAAGATTGAAATTAAAAGCGCAAGTGGTTAATATACAACTTTAAATCGTTGTAGATCCTAAACTATCATATAAAATGAAAAATGGTGTAAGAAACCTAAACATGATTATCTAGACAATGATACCCTACTCGACATAATTCGGCAACTTATTTTTTTTCTTTCTCACAATGTGGCGCCCAGATATTGATTTTTGATTATTATCATATCTTGAGTAGCACTTCCATGATTAAGAGCAATCGATTGATGTATAAATCATCAAAATCGCGCTTCGCGATTCTGCATTGCGCAGTCGGGTAAAAAGATATGATTACAGACACTATTCAAAATTAAAAGAACTAAGCAGTTTAAAAAACACAATCGTATATATGTTGTTCATATAAGTCGGGGTGTGATATCTAAGATAGTTTACTTGACAATAACGCCATTATAGAACTGCCGACACCTAATTATAATTGTCACTATTCCGATTTAACAATGTATGTAATAATTTAGAAATCTATAGTCTAATATTAATTTGATTTCAAGTCGCCTATTATAGTACCTATTTTAATATCTTTTTGGTTTTCTAGCTGCCATCGGAGCCGTTATAGCGGGCACCATTCTGGCCTGGACTTCACCAGCCTTACCTCAGCTGATCCCCATGCCCTCCCAATCCGATAATACCAATAAGACAACAGTCAACTTTGTTAATAATAATGGGACCCTGATCAACTCCTTGGGGCAGCCTGCAGATTTTCTTCTAGACACCAAAGACAGTAAGTTTTTGATAAATTAAGCTATTTATTTTATTACCTTTGTGTTATTTGAATCCTTAGATAGCGCACAGATAAGAAGATTATTTTTCTTAAATCATTGTGTTTCAATCTTTTCATATTGTTAATTTTTTATCGATATCTTGATGGGTTCAAGATAATGCCAAGTAAAAATTTAGTTTTGCATGTGATCGTCAAAATTCGCGAGTTACTCGACACGTTAAGAAATACTACGATCCGCTCGACGACAAATTTGTAATTCCTGAGATCATTTCACTCCTGAATAAACCTTTGTAACTCTGCTATAGATTTCGCGCTTTCGAATTGGTTCACGTCATTACCCTTAACCTTAAAATAACTGGAATCCGTCTCACACAAAACAATATTTTTGCAATCTTACGACAAGAGCGCCACACCCACGAGCGAATTTTCAAAAACAATTATAGACCGAGCGACACTAAAATGTTACTCTCCGTCTTTGAAATTTGATCTAATTTCGTATTGTAGCCACACCTCAACGGTGTTGGAAGTAAGCCAAAAAGCCGTCAGCTGATTTGACATAGCTATTTGTTGATAAATAGCTTCGATCGAGTAAGATTGAATCTCTTATGCACGAGAACTTATATTGAATGAGACACTTTAATAGTGAAAGCATTTTTTATTATTATGGCCAGTTTGCAGTTAATATGGTGTTAAATTTTATTAAGTAGGTATGCTTTTATCTTAACATCGGGAATAGCGGTGGCTCTTTTTACATGAAAACTAAATTTTCTTCTTACGTTAACAAATGTTATGATCATTTTCAACTTTCCACTTACGTCGTTTTCTCTATTTCATAACTTTTTTGAAACTTCAGATTTACTGAATAAACTATCTTCAACTTACATAATGATAATCAAACAGGTCAACTTAATAATGGCATCATATAAATGAAATCTCATTTTATGTCGCGTGTCTTACTTACTTATTGTTAAAACAAGCAAGAGACAGCAACAACTTTAATTAATCTTACAAACTAATCGAGGTCTCTGAATAAGAATGCTAAAGAAATTTTTCCTCTTTTCAGGTTCCATAGCCTCCTCGATCTTAGCTATCGGCGCGTTGATCGTGGCGTTGCCCGTGGGGTATCTGGCCCAGAAGCTCGGCCGGAAGCCTACCATCCTCCTGCTGGCGGTGCCGTTCATGCTCAACTGGTTGCTCATCATCTTCGCCAACGGGGCGGGCATGCTTATCGCCGCCAGATTCGTCGCTGGTCTCGGCACTGGTGAGTAGTTTAATAATTTGTTTACTTATCGTATAGACATCTAATTAAATGTACAATTTATGAGTGAGAAACATGTCCGAATTATATTTTTTTGATGAACTAGCTAATTGCTAGTTTGCCACCCTTCAGAAAAACTTAATAGTGGTAAATGATGAAATGTCGAAATCAATATACTTCGTCAAAAACTCCTCATTACGTGATCAAACATCAGACAAATCAAGAACTTTTTGAATTGTAGATCATTTCAAAATTATTATACTCGAGGCATAATAATTTTGAAATGAGAAATAAGTGAAGATGATTTTCTCAAGGCATTTTTACAAATCATTGTCTTTCACATCACAGGTGGCATCTGCGTAGCCGCACCGATGTACATAGGCGAGATCGCAGAGACCTCCATCAGGGGGTCTCTAGGTGCCTTCTTCCAGCTATTTCTGACTGTGGGCATCTTATTCACGTTCGTGGTAGGCGATTATACACACTGGAGGACACTGTCAATCATCAGTGCTGTGCTGCCACCGCTACTAGTTATCGTATTCTGGTAAGTAGATAAAGATTCCAGGACGAGTTAAACGTCTTCCGAAAGCATACAAAAATATATTATATGAATATATAGGATAGGCTTTTGATTTTATAATTTTGGTAATTCCTCTGCTATTTTAAGTAAATTTCTTAAGCTAAATTTCCTTTGGTACTATATCGTGTAAATATAGGACGAGTATAAGTTTTCTGGGAATGATGAATAAAAATTTCAACCGAACATATACAATCTATTCATTTTGCAGAAATCTGAAATGAAAAAAGCTTTCATGATTTTCCTGGCATTTAAATGTAAAATAAATCCGCATTTAATATTAAATATTTTCCATATCTTCTATCTTCTTCTTTCCTATCTTCTTTATATTTAAAACAGGTAGTTCCAGAATAACAGTGCTGTTATAATGCAAATGTATTTTCACATTTTAATAACACTAAGGCAGAGTTCTGATTGGACTAGGTACTTCTATCACCAAAATTTACTTTATTTTTTATGTACGTTCTGACCTGTTATTTTCTGGTATTTTTTATGTTTTTGATTCTTAGTGTATGTACTTACATTATGTGTGTGATGGATAGCCATTAAAAAACTCTTTCTTTGTTTATCGTTTGAAGTTTAAAATATGGGACAGTGGTTACCAAACGACTGCCCGTTCTTCACAGTACAAGTTTTTCTGCCGTATATTTACGAACCAATAGAGTAGTTTTTTGATTTTCATAGGTGTTTCTAAAACGCTCAACTGAAATAAGGATATTAAAAATCTAAATTTTATTATCAAGATAAATTTTCTATTCAGGTGGATGCCAGAAACTCCTCAATACTTGTTGGGTAAGAACCGTCGGCGTGATGCTGAGAAAGCGCTTCGTTGGTTGCGTGGACCTGATGCCGATCTGGCAGGTGAACTAGAAGATATGCAGAAAGAAGTAAGTTACTACAAAATATCAATTGAAAATAAATTTCTTAACGCTCATTATTTTATTTTAAACACGATAAGCTAAGCTACAAAACTTTAAACAAAAATCAGTAAAGTCTAAAATTTATAAAATGTCATTGAGGTCTATAATTTTATACATTCGAATGACGTTTTTCGTCCTAATTATCTTTTTTTTCGTAGTAAGCCATCATATTATACCCAGTTTAATATTTATGTATTTGTCTCGCAGGTGGACAACGCTTCTCGCCAAAGAGGTGGAATCGGCAGCATGTTCACACAAAGATCGACCTGTATGGCCTTCATCTGTTCTCTAGGCCTCATGTTCTTCCAGCAGTTCAGCGGGATCAACGCCGTCATCTTCTACACCAACCAGATCTTCCAATCTGCTGGATCCGATATCCCCCCAGGCATCGCTACAATCATTGTTGGCGTAGTTCAAACGATCGCTACTTACATATCCTCTTTACTCATCGAACGAGCCGGCCGAAGAATCCTTCTCCTCCAAAGCAGCATCATCATGGGAATCTGCTTAGTCGTTCTCGGAGTCTACTTCAAATTGCAGGAAAACGGCTTGGATTTGGCCGCCATAGGATGGCTTCCTTTAGTCTGTTTGGTCCTTTTCATAATCTCCTTCTCTATGGGCTTCGGCCCAATACCTTGGATGATGATGGCGGAGCTTTTCCCAGTCGAATTTAGGGGCACAGCTTCCGGCATATCGGTTATCGTCAATTGGTTATTGGTGTTCGTTGTCACTTTATGCTTCCCCTTAATGAAGGACGCTATCGGTATTTACAGTTGTTTCTGGTTCTTTGCCGCTTTCATGGTGCTGTGCACTTTCTTCGTGTTCTTCTTAATACCGGAAACGAAAGGTAAGACCATCTCTCAGATTCAGGCTATACTTGCCGGCAGAAAGTCGTAAGTAGAATAAATACATGCGTGGATTCACAGGACTTTAAAAATTAGCTGCTTTGTGAAACTAATACCGATAAACATAGACTTACGCCATATATCCCATATGGAGCCGTCAAAGCGTCAAAGATGAGGTGCAAATCAGTCCAAAATCACACCTCAACGATGCCACATTAGACATTGGTTGGGTCTAACATAAATTCAATACTTACTCCGTATATTAACTTCGGGAGGTGAATGATAAAATATGTGATTAATTCCGAGTGATTTCATATTGATGAGGTGTTATGGAAAGTTATTTTTGAAGCAGAGGAGTTTTTTGAGAGGAGGTAGGTACCTCCAAATTTTGGTTATCAAATTTTATGATAACAATATTAACGTAATTTACAAAAAACTTGCATGTAATGCACATTTGAGCATTACATGCAAGTTTGTATGTACGTCTTATATCGCATTGTACTAAGTTATTTAAGAAAAGAAGATTTATAGCTCTTTTTTTAGCTAGGTAGGCAAATGTCTCTACCCCACCTGATGTTAAGTGGTGGTAAAGTCTAGAGGCGAAGACAGCTGGTGCAGCAGTTATAAACTGCCACACCAGCCATCCTCACCTTGCCGGCCTGCGAAAATGCTTCTTCACGCCATTCTTACAGGACCCCAGATTGTAGGAAGGAGGGGAACACGTGCGCGGGCAAAAAATCAGTCACCTAATTTCTTTGTTCGTGTAGGAATAGAGGCTATATAAGTCGGTGACAACGCAGGCCAGCGCACGTGGTCCTCTGAAGGAAAGGGGAAGGTGGGAAAAGGAAGTAGTCCGCAGAACACTAAAAGATGATGACAAAAATGTATGTTAATCCAAGAGAGTTATAGAAAAAATGTGCATAAAACCATTAAGGAAAACACGGCAGATAGAATCAGGGCTATAAATCATGCTTCGTGCCCCACCACATTTAAAGAAGAATACTAAACTTTCGTACTGATTTTTTTACTTTTTATTTCCATCTGAATGAGGTGTATTAAGGTTTAGTTATTACGAAACCGTTGTTATTTTACAATAATGAACGGATAGAGAGCATTAGTATAATTAACTTATACTAGTACATTATATAATGATCACTCGTGTGTTATCCCAAATTATTTTTTGGATTAAGACGACCAAAGATAAATAGGTAATTTTTACAATGTAAATCCAACATACGAATAAAAATAATTTGACAAAATCTCTTGCAATCGAGTCATAGAGCATTATTATTACGACGTGCATAAACTTTTTAAAAGTGTTTTTTTTTTATATAAGTAGAAATTTTGAAAAGTAAAGTTAATATGAATGTTTGTATTTTTAAGTCAGCTTTTACTATAATACGGTTTCTCCGTTGCTTAGAATGAACTACACATTTCCGTCAATAATGTTGGTTAGAGAATAGAAAATGACAATTTTAATTTTAATATTATTTTATATTTTTATGATACATATGAAATGTAATAATTTCATTGATTGATTGCATTTGATCATGTACAAACTGTTAGTAGCTAAAGTTTTTAGTACAGTTGATTGATACATTTATTTATTATAAAAAGTAAGTCCAAGAGTGAGTGAGCGTGTTATGGGTTTTTAAAAGGCCTGCACAGACCAGGGGAAATTGTCTAAGCTTGTTTGATTCCATGTCCCTTTTGTCCCATTATTCAGACCCCAAACTTGAAATTCTTTATACTAATTTAATGTCCATTGCTTTTCAACTAAAATTCTTTTAGGAAGATATATTTTAATTAATAAAACATCTCTTAGATGTTATTACAGACAATAGGTTATAATAGTCTCCGGTGATTTTCGAAAAAATCTTCTTTTATAGAAACTGAAGTATGAAATATATGCACAATAAGAGATAAATTGAAGTAACCACAAAATATCATGCATCAAATAGTAGATAAAATAATACTTCTACGAAAAATACGCTTTTTAGCTTGATTATTAGGACAAAATTATACGTCTAGGTAGAAACCGAGACGCAATATCCACGGAAATTGGCTTCGAGCCATGACGCCGTTTGCTATTTCAACGTGATTCAGAATTCTCTTGAGATATATGTATATTGTGATGGACACAGAAGACATTACAACGACATTCCCTCGTTTGTGTAGGTATTAATATGAATAAGCTATTTGTAGATAGATGCTAATGCTTTCATTATTGCCATTGTTTATTTGTCAATTGTAATTCTAAAGTACAAATTTCTCCAATCAGGAATTTCATCTTTATATTGATTTTTGTGCAGTTCTGTGACTGTTTATTGTATTGGTTTAGATAAACATGATCATTCTGCATATAAACCATCAATTCTAAATTGTAGTTTATATAAATTCAAATATCTTCGTGTAAACAGATACCTAAGCTATATTGGGAAAATAATTGTGTAAAACAAACATGCCATAGGATAAAAAGTAAAACAAAACAAAGAAAATTTTGCAAACGTAAAAGGAATATGAATGAATAGGAAACAAAGTTGAAATTGGAAAGAAACTTAAAAGTTCCGCCAGTGCAAATATATAATTGCGACGGCTAAGCATTGAAGAAAATTGTACATTAGGAAATATTTTAATTAGCAGAATTTAAATAGGTAATAGTTGAATCTATAATGTAGCAAAAAGTGGAATATCAATAAAGCTACTCACGGAACAACTTTTTTCAGATCATATAGAAACGTGCCAAATTGTTGGGTTCTTGATAGTTATAGTAAACATGAATAAACTAATGTTGTTTATATTTTTAACTTAATGAAATAGTGTTATTTATTTAAATGTTGTTATTTTTAAATTAATTAAATAAAGGAACGATTTTTAAGAACTATGTATTTTTCATCTTCTATTGCAGGCACTTAACATCTTCATTAGCCTATTTATGTCCTTACTGCACAGACACAGGCTTTCCCTTTCGATGGGAGATCAGGAGAGGTTGCTAACTACTGCAGCTTCAGCAGGGACCAATGGCTTAAAGTGCCTTCCGAAGCACTTTAATCAAAATAATTAATAAATTTTTGGTCACCCATCCTAAAATTAAATACATGATCAGATGGCCTTCCTGTTTCACTGGTTTTTGGGGTTCTGTACCTCAATCGGCTCAACGGAACTCTTTAGGATCAATCGGTTCTCTGTCTGTCACACGGTTTCAATAAGAGGAAAAGTATTATTTAGTTGGTATTCACTTTTAAAAAAATATGAGGGTGCTACCTTGGGCTACCTTCATTATGTTACATATATATCTTTATATATAAAATTCTTCTGTGAGTGTGTATGTCACTGAACTTCTCTTAAACGACTGGACCGATTTTGATGAAATTTTTTGTGTGTGTTCAAGGGGATCTGAGAATGGTTTAGATTCACAATTTTTTTTATGGCGGTACGAAGTTCGCTGGGACAGCTAGTATACATATATAACTTCATGGCTCCCACACAACAGACGTGATTTTTTGACATTTTTTGTTCGATATTAATATCCTTGGGCGAGTCCGACTCACATTTGGCCGGTTTTTAGCAATTGTCAAGTGTTATTTGCGATTTTTATGAGGCGCATCAAATACAGCAGACGACTTTCGTGGTAGAGTGTACCACAAAAATATTCAGAGTCATCTTCCGAGTTCCTGCATTTCAATTCCGGTAGTAAATGTAGTTATGTATATAAAAAAGAGAGTTCGTATTCTAAGCCATGGCAGTTTATACATATTTACACTTAAATAAACATGTCATGTATCATTTTTTGCAGTTCTTTCAGTAACCCTCATGTTACCCTAGTACTTATATGATACCTACAAGTTTGAGTGTCACAGAAAGATGCAGCGTGCGGTCGGGGTGGCTGCCAGTTGTATTCGCTTGCAATGTGAGCGAATGTTTAAACACTAGACCAATTAGGGCTGACAGCGGCCGCAGGCCACCTCTGTCTGTGAGACCCTTAACCCAAGCCTTACATATTATACTTTGCAGCTAGCCAAAGGAAATTTATGGTCAAGTGAAGCAAAAGGTGCGAAAACTAAAATAGCTCTTACAATGCCTAATCAAACTTTATAACAAACACAACCAGTTATTTATATACAAACTAATAATTTCCATCATGAACATGAACCAATTAAAACATAGAGGACGTCAACGACGGGCACTCCTTGCAAATGGCTCTCTTCTCAATATCGTCTATCCGTGTGGTCAGCTCGGAGATGTGCTTCTCGATGGCTCTGACGTCACTTCTGAAGCTTGTCACCGTGGCGTCTAACTCCGTCAAATACTGTATCTTGTTGCTTAGCTCATCGTACTTCTGCGATATGAAGTCTCTTGCGTTTTGGGAATCGGTAAGTTCCTTCTCGATTTTGTGCACGATCTCGTAACGTAGCTCGTCGAATTTCGACTCCAAGCTTGGTCCCAACAAATGTGCCCCCTTTATCGCCAGCTCTTCCTCGAGACGCATTTTACTCGGCAGTTTCGTATGGCAAGCCATTGTAATCAATGGTAAGGTTTGTTCACTCGAAACAATTTTATTTTGTCATAATCCCCGATCATTTTACGTGGTGAATTTGTAATTTGGTGAAATTTTTTCCGAAATGCCGAAACGTGTCAAAAGGGATACCTATTATTTCAACATGTAAACGTCCTGTCAGTTTTTATTTAAATTTAGATTACAATGTTTTTGTACCGTTGAGGTTCAATATGCCTTTAGTTATTGTTCTGAGTTCAGAATAATAACCGAAGTCATAATTTAGAGGTTCTGAGTTCAATGACATATGAATGGGAATATAGCTTTTGGAGGAGTTGAATGACGTATTGGTTAGCCATAACAGTCCATATCACAAAGTTCACAACGCGGCGTCTTTTATAGCGTGACCTTAATGTGATTACATCAAGGAAGTTACATGCTTAATGTAAGGTATATAACTTCCTTGGGTTACAACATGGTTATTAGGTGTGGGCGTTTTTAGAATAACGATGCGCGATAACGATGCCAGAGTTGGATGCGCGCATCCGATGCGACTGGATGCCATTATTGGATGCCGATGCCATCTAGTTTTTGTCAACGTTACTATAGTAACAGTGCCACAAACTCATGTGCCGGTGAAGATGTCGCTAGCGGTGAACAAATATGTCAAAGATGTCACAATACTATGGATAAATTGGATAGTTCCAATTCTTGCCACCGGCACTGAAAAGTTTGTGATACTACGATACTGACATTCACTTGGCATCGATGCGATGCCGGCATCGGTGCGCGGATCCGATGCCATTTATCTGATACCGATGCGCATCGATTTCACAAATATCTGGGAACGCCCATCTCTACTGGTTATACTAAAAATATATTGCCTTAAATTCCTCTGTGCCGTCCTAAGCCGTTGGTACCGGGTGTTGCATCTGCAGAGTATATTGATCCGTATGCACCGCGTCAGACTTCTTGAGCACCAACCACTGACAAGAGCTGTCACAGACTACTGCGGAGGCTTGCTCCGCAGTAGCAATTTTAAATACAAAAACCTCTACTACACAAGTTTATTTCTCTGTGGTTTTGCTCAAGAAGTTTGCGTCTACCTATATAATGAATCCATGTTGTGGGTCATGTTTTACCTATCTATTCTCACATACTTTTGTACCTATATATTCTCATTTCTGTGCATATGAAACAACTAAGTCCTGGCATAAACCGGCATTAATAGTGATTTATATCCTAACAATGGGGACACTAAATAAATAAGTAATTAGAGGACATAAATTATGATGATAATAATACAATCGTTGAAGCTTATTCTGCTTAAATAAAATTATATTAATATCTGAACGATCCTGTATGGTGGGATTTCTGTCGGCTCCTTGTTATAATAACGCTTTGAAAAGATGTGCAATTTATAATAAACAATATTCTCACAAGACCTGATTTATGTTATTTGATTTATTTCAATTTCATTATTTATGACATGACGCTTAGCGAGACCTATCATTCATCCATTATTTATGATAATAATAAATCAATGAATATTCTTTATTGCACTGAAAGACAGTTTTTCAGAAATACAAAAAACAGAAATGTAAAAATAAAAGGCTGCCTTATTGCTAACTAGCTGTACCCCGCGGTGTTACCCGCGTTTTATTAGGGATATTTTCCTGCAGTAAAACGTAACCTATGTATTATCCTATGTAATCCAGGGTGTCAGCTAACTCCATACCAAATTTTATTAAAATCGCACCAGCCGTTTAGATGTGAAGAAGTAACAAACACACACTCACAAACTTTCGCCTTTGTAATATTAGTGTGATAATTATAATTTAGTGATACCTACCACTGCACTTTCTCCCTACCATTTTCCAAGACAATACTTGTTAATACGAGAAGAAACACATTGCAGGCCGGCAAGGTGAGGATGGCTACTGTGGCCGGTAAAACTGCTATACCAGCTATCTTCGCGTCTGGACTCCATCGTTACTTAACATTGGACAAAGTCATTTGTCTTCCCTATTTCCCTATGTCTGAGGAGCTCGATGGCGCAAGTGGTTAGCGCATTCGGCTGCGATCGTTGAAATTTAGCAACTTTCGTAGTGGTCGGTCATTGGATGGGTGACCAAAACTTACTATCTCGAGCTCCTCCGTGCTTCGGAAGGCACGTTAAGCCGTTGGTCCCGGCTGCATCTGCAGTCGTTAGCACCCACCAATCCGCACTGGGCCCGCGTGGTGGGTCATGGCCCAGTCTCCCTATTCCATCCATAGGGAAGGCCTGTGCCCCAGCAGTGGGGACATTAATAGGCTGATGATGATGCTGATGAGCATTAAAAAAAAAGTTATTTATTAATGCAATTGAAGAGCTATTCGTTTAAACAAATCCAAAAAGTTTGAATAAACTCTCCAACGTAAAAACAAGGTTTAAAAAATTTTGAGTTACCTATATTTGCCTAAATGTCCCACGGAAAATTCCGGTTTAAATCTAGTAGGGCTCAGCAAAAAACTAATGCTGCTTTGGAATCCTTCGCTGATCGTAAAGTTGAGAGCCTCTAGACTTGACATTACATGTTTGCAGTTAAAGATAAAATATTTGATAAAATATAATTATTTTATAGGAGTTCATTAGGAAATGTTAAAAAACCTTTTTTTATCATGTGGTTATAGCGTGTAGTCAGCGTGATAGTAAAAGGCATCCGTAGCCTACAAGAACGACTATACAGGGTGGAAATCAAGACCGTTCTTGGAGGATATTCCTTTACTCTCAAAAATAATTAAAACTGCCCTTAAAGATTTTTTGCTGGAGATTAGTATAGCGACATATTGAAATATATAATTAATTCGCTAAATCTAAAGAAAATTTTTCTATAATCAAATCCACGCGGTCCAGGCAGCAGACGGGACTCGAACCCGCACCCTTCGCTATCCGGGTGAATGCATGGACCATTATGGTAACGCGGCCTGACATCTGTGGCGAATTTTCTCTAGCCTTAGACTGCAAGGCCATTTCTTGTCGATTCCCGTCTGCTGCCTGGTCCGCGTGATTTTATTTCTAGTAAAATTTTCTTTAGATTTAAACATCTAGCATTCAAATACTTTGAAAATCCAAAAATATTACTATAATTGTTATTTCTTCTGTTAAATGTTTAATACTTATAAAGGTATTCATTTGACATTCTGGGTTTCCTACAATGTGAACAAATGGCGCTGCCATAAATCCTCATGGATATCCTACAGCTGGTTGTAAGATTATGCCCGACTCTTTTTAACCGACTTCAAAAAAGGAGGAGGTTCTTTGTTCGACTGTATATTTTTTTTAATGTATGTTCACTAAATTCTCCGTCAATTGTGGACCGATTTTTAAATTTTTTTTTTTTATTCGAAAGAGTGCACTTCCTTAGTGCACGCCTTACTCGAACAAAAATTACCACTTTAAAGTTCAATATATCGCAAACGGATCCCTTAATCAAAATAGTCTTTGAAACCCCTAAATAATAAGTAATAAAATTGGTTTAAAGTCAATTTAACATTTGGCGTCGGTGCGATGCCCGAGCAGTAAATAGCAACTCAGGTCTACGTACGTATACCATGCAGTGGAGTAGTGAACCCATCTCAGCCAGCTATTAGTTATCTCGGCAAATAAACTCCAATCACACAACATCAGATAAGATGAAAATAAAAATATTATATATACTGAACCATTGTCATTAATGATAAGTGTAATCAAGCTTTTAGTTTGCAGAAGTCGCTTGATAGTCATCCGATATTCATCGATAACTGCTGAATACATATATGTGTCAAGTGCAGTAACTCGGTAGTCAGTTTCTGAAGTGGACATGTGCTTACTACATCTAGTGCCTTCTTTTTGGTGAGTACATATTATTTTTTATTTTTTCGAAATCATAGATACGAGTTCGACCAACATAATGTACAAATGTTAAATACATAGTATATTACCTACTATTTTATTTAGTGTTAATTTATTTTGACCAGACTTACTCTTGTCAATTATTTTATGAAAATTTTAACCCTAAGTTACTAAAATTATGCATATATATATATATATATTATTCAAATATATATATATATATATATATATATATGCATAATTATATGCATAATTATATAGGTATTCACCTATTTCCCTTGTTATTTGCCATAAGTAAATAACTTTAGAACAAAGGAGATTGCTCAAATTGGCCTAAATGCACAAAAAATATTGACATACACGGTAATTCTTGGCGTAATTTATAATTCAATTTACAGTCATTAGATTTCAACGGACACCTTTTTATAAAATATTTACTTTAAAAAGGACTTTTAATATTACCGGTTTGGAAAACATACGAATCATTTTTAATGGCTATGGGTGTAGTAACATTCAGCCAAAGACTGATCGCAGTTGTTTATATAAGATAAAAACAAATCTATTTTGTAAAGATCAATAAAATAAAACATTTTTTTTATTACACTGTGGTATTAATATCCACCACTATATTATCATTTTCACTAGATGCAAATGTGCTCAGACAATTATTATAGATGGTAGGCGATATCATAAAGTCTATGGGTGCGGCCAGAGTGCACTCAGATTCAGATTCAGATTCAGACTCAGAAAACAAAGCGCGAGAAAAAGCAAGCAACCTGCTTAGACTACACTGTTTATTTCTTGCGCTTGTTTTCGAAATCTGAATCTGAGTCTGAATCTGAGTGCACTCTGGCCGCACCCTATTGCCATACATTTTTCGCCAAACACCTCCATAAACATATTATAATCTGTATATACGTTAGACTTTAAGGTATCTATCTATGGGCCTACGTTCCCTGACTATAAATTAATAAATAAATAAAATTATAAGGTGTGATACACTAAAAATCTAAAATATGGTTATCTTAAAAACAACAAAAATAATGAAGCTACTGAATATACGGCTATAGAACCTAAATATCTTAGCTTTTTTTGGTTAACTAGAGTTTAAAAATTCTCTCTAATCTGCGGCTCATTCACAATCATCACACAGTTTCTGTCACAGAGTATTTATTATAACCGGAAATGACACGTGATTTTAAAAGTTACTCATATGCATTAACTTTAAAAACAGGCAACTATCTGTTATTCTACATGCTCTATATACCTGAATCTAATCCATAATTTCGGTACTTGGCTTGATTTCCCTAGTTTACTATATAACTTATGTGTTTTTTATATGTTTATTTTAATATGTCAGTGTATATGGTTTATAGAAGTTCTCAGGGGTGTCCGTCAATAATATTCGTTTCTACAGTAATTTATATATAATTTCGAATCTAGGAAACAATTTTTCATGATTATTGGTCTTTAGGCCAAACATGTATGGAAGCTGAGCAATCTCCTTTACTGATTTTATCCATCTTTTTAATAAGATGTAGAAGAAGATCCACGGAATCTTCTTCTTGTGCGGAATAAAAATGAAATTGACAAAGTCCATTGCGGAAGCTAGTGCTATAGACAAAGGCTACAGGAAAAGTCAACCTAGATATTCGTCTAAGTTTGCGCAATCCCTTAAATATCTTGTGAGTGTCATTAAAGTTGCACTACTTGTTTAATAAAAGAACCAGAGCCTCAATTATAAATGTTAAATGAGTGGAATTTATTATTATATATCCAACAAACGATGCCAGATGTCAGCATGCAATACTCCTGTGATCAGTGACCACCAGTACGGTTACTTCGGAGTCTTTCGGGTGGTGATCACGTAGTATAGTTGACTTATCGTTGGACAGAGGGAATCGAGACCAAGGTCGACCACTTGTGATATCAAGCCTTTTTGATATCCAGTCTGACTGCCAATGCTTCCCATCAGCGGTCAGTCTGGATATTACAAAGGCCTTCGATCACACAGCGTTTAGCACAAAGCGCCTACTATCGAAGCTTTCTTCCTATGGCCGTCATTTGAATCATCAGCCTTCTTGGGGATAGGAGCATCAAGGTCGTAGATAATGGTGCATGCTCGGACTCGAAATCCGTGAACGCTGGTCCGGTGATTTTGTCCAGAACGCGTGTGCTATCACCTACGCTGTTTCCCCTTCATATCAATGATATGCTTCAAATTGATGGCATTCATTGTTATGCAGACGACAGCATGGATACTGGCTTCGCCAATATATTACAAGAAGACGTCATCGAGTGCCCGAACAAACTTGGGCCTCTGGTCTGAATTTGAGTCGTTTCTAAACAATCAAATTGGGGCCGACTTAGCTTAGTCGAGTTTAACCTTACAAAAACATAGCGCAGCGCATTTACCGCAAAAAAAACCATTTGTCGTATTTCCTCTTTTTGAGAACACTCCTCTAACTGCCTTAGACAGTATTAGAATTCTTGGCGGTGACAATTCGAGCGACGTCCAGTTTCGGGATATTTCGATGACACATATAATCTTTTCTTTTTTTAATTTTTACCGTAGAACCTCACTTATAAATACTATTTGCTCATAATCGTAAACTCGTCTACTCTAAACTAAAAGTTTACAATTACCTAATTACATTAAACTTAAATTTTAATTACATAAGCCGACACTCAAATTAATCATCATTCTTATGTTTACTCCAGTAAGTATAGTTGATTTAAAACGATATTTACTCTATGACGGGTACATTTTGTTATCTTAGTTACAGTTTATGGAAGTCGACAAAGATATTGTTTGCCTACGCTACCGTAACGTGACAGGACGAACATGACCATCGCAATACACGATGCAGCTTATTATTTAATTAAAGTTAACGACAGATAAAAAATTTACCTATCTTACCTACTTACCCTATTTTAGCAACATTCTTTAATATATTAAGACTTAAATGGGACACTCAGAAAGTTTTGAGACTCTTAAAAACTAACTTCTATGAGAAAGATATTTTTATTATTTTTTTTCAAAGAACTCTCCACCAACCAGCCTCTATACAAAGTTTCACGCGTCTGAACCAATTTTCAAATCATTTTTTCCAGTCCTCCGCAGACAGCTCTGTATCCCTTTGAGCTGATTTTTTATTTGAGGGAATAAAATGAAAGTCACACGGAGCCAAATTAGGATTGTAAGGAGGGTTTCCCAAGACACTGACTGGTGTGGAGTCCAGGAAGTCCTTCGTTTTGATCGCAAGTGCGCGGGCGCGTTGTCGTGGTGAAGAAGGAGCCCGGTGTTAGGTCGCTTGTTGCTCATTGCAGAAAAAGCTTCGGGCAGGCATTTTATGCTATACCATTTTGGCGTTGATGCTGCTTTAGTCTCGAAGTGGAATTGAAATTAGGCACCTACTCTGTTTTCTTGAATTATTTTTTTTACTGCCAGCAGCACACTTTCTTCTGTGTTAGAAGTCGTAGGTAAGGAATGGTCTCCTTTGTTCATCCCCCCAAAGTAAGACGACCGCGTTTGAACTCGCTACACCAGCGGTAGATTAGCGGTTGCTTTTAATGGTCCTTCATCCATAAAAGCAGTTCGAAATGAAAAAAATGGCTCATCAGATTTTAAGCCACATTTAAAATTGTTAAAAATTATAGCACGAAAATGTTCTCGATGCAGATCCATTTCTTAATGAGAGGGGAAATTTTAAAATGGAATTTTTACTTTTGAATAATCGAAGTTTTGAAAATAATTACAAGTGGCCAGTAAACTGTTTTCGCAAAACTCTCTGAGTGGCCTGGGATTTCTTTATATAGCATCGTAACATCTTTGTGATTTATTTAAAGTCGAATAGAAATAGAACAGGTTTTAAATTTTATTATAAGCGATCATTATTTCAAGTGGGCCAAGTAAAAAAGAAATAAGTCCAAAACAAAAAAAATCTATACCTACTATGGAAACGACACAAGGGCACTATAATACCATTCCTAAGAAAACACGTAAACACGTTTATTTTTGGAACCACTACTTATTTAGAATGTAGTAACATATAAGTAGGTGCGATGTAATCTAAAGAAAATAAAATAATTACAAATATGTTTATAGCAACCAAATTTTGGATGTCACTCTTTACTTACTTACTTACTCTCTGTGAAGGAAAAATTGCTGCAATTCGAGTATCTCTTATAACTCTCGGCTTCACGAACTGTTAGGTATCCTACTTATTTTATAAATGTGAAAGTATGTATGTTTTTACTCAATCACGAAAAAAGGGGTGAGCGGATTTAGATGAAATTTTTCACACAGGCATTTTATAACCTGGAAAGAGTAAAGCTAGGATACTTTTTATCCCAGAAAATTTTAAAGTTGTTGAAAGATTTTCAAAAAAACAAAGTTAACGCGCACACGCGTCGCAGGCGGCCGCTGGTATGTTTATATATATATATATATATATATATATATATATATAAATCATTATTTTGTTTACTTATACAAATACTTAGTAGAAGTTTCTCAAAGAAAAAAAACAGGGTGCACTCCGGGAGTGCCGGCTGAAGTGAACACTTGAATATTAACGTTGTGCATTTTTGATATTTTGGAATGGTTAGGGAATAATTTTGCACGAATTGCTTTAATTATCAGTATAAAAGTACTATCATTTATGTGGTAAAATACAATATTTATTTATTGCGCTATCGTAAACAAACATGACAATTCATATTACATTAAAAAGTTTATCTCTCAGAAAAATCAACTTTCATGAATCACATTTAAGCGCACCTAGCGACTATTGTAAAGAAAAATGCATTTGCTTCGCAATAAAGCTGCGACCTGGACGTCCTAACTAGAGATTTATTATTATAATACGATAAAATAAAATATTACTATGGTTCGTCCAATATATTGAAAGTCAACAACCTTCCCAATTTTATTGTTTTCGTCTTACGAATTTTCGATTAGGCCACGTGTCCTGACGCGATCAGGTTACGTGTCCTGACGCCTGTTTAACATTTTTTAATCATTCCAAAAAAAGTGTAAAACGCCGCTAAAGAAGTTTTCCCTTCAAAAAATAAGTTGCACCAAAACTAAATTCAACAGGGACGAAGTCGCGGGCAGAAGCTAGTTTCTTAATAAAATGATCAGATTTATTCATCATTATCGGACGATCATCGTCACACACCACTTAAATATATAGGTTTTATAAATTATAATACTTATTGTTGCAGATAATAAAATCATTTCATTGCCGCGATTGTGTGCTGATAGCTGGGTCGCCCCGTTAAATAACACGTAAGTGCTTAAGCGATCTTTGCTTATTATAAGCTTTATTAGTCGATCATATAAAAAATCTCGCATGCGAGCAAGTGCCTCCTAACTAGACTCAAAATAATAAGAAAAACGGTCGACAAAGTGCGAATCACACTCGACTAATAAAACAAGGAACACGAACTCGACTTAAATATAAGGTAGGAAAACCCCGAAAATATCACATTAATAAAAATAGGTTTTATTCATAATTTAATTACTTGTAGCTATTGCTTTGAATTTGATTTTATATTTGTGATAGGTATGTAGGTTTTTCTACAAAAGTCATATTTTTTTTAAATCGTCATTCAGTTTAACATTTTCAAAAGTGAAACTTTAACTATACCTACTGTAACTTAACTGCCTAATACGGTTTATAATATAGAGAAAACTGAGAGATGGTTAGCGGATGTTTATTTTTTGAATAGTGTTTTCTTACTTTGATTTTGTTTCTTACTTCACTATCTGCCCTTGTTACATTGATCTAATTTATAAATAGAAAATATGGACCAAGTGCGAGTCGAATTTGCGCACGAAGGGTTCCGTAAACATTAGATACTATAATTATATACAATATCAAGCAAAATGAATAATGTCTGTTGTATAGGAGCCCCTCTTAAATATTTATATTATTCAAGCTACATAATATCATTGATTTATTTAATAGTTTGTTTCCGAGCTAGACATGACCGCAAAAGGAGTTTTTTTTATTATGTCGGAACTTACAAAGTACAACATAATTCAGTATTTGTTGTTTAATTATACAGAAAGGGATATCCACGTTCTTAGCTAGTTTTGAATTTAAGAGTTTCTTTGAATTTTCTTTTAATTAATTAACTATAAAAAATACATTTCTTTGTTCTTGAAAATAATAAAAGTTATATTGAGTATATCCTACTATAAAAGTTATATTGAGTATATCCTACAACTCAACTAGCTCTCCACCATATGAGTTACATGCCGCAGTAAAAAAGAAAGAAAAAATTCGTGTCCTTTTCATTTGTGGCCCCCTGAGATAAAGAATGTAATTGAATTTTTAACTAAATATTCGGCTTTGGGCTTGCCCAGAAAGAAATAAAGCGTACGATGTAGAGAGCTTGCTTTGTACATATAATACCAACATTTCAGTTCTGTAACTCAATCCGTTTACTATCTAGTCACCCGTGACATAATAACAGACAGACTACCTAATATCGACGACCTCCGTGGCCGAGTGGTATATACTAGGTTGGTTTCATGGTGTCGCCTAGTCTGAGTTCTCGGGTTCTAATCCTGGTGGGGGCAAGTGTTTGTACTCCAGTCATGGATGTTTAAATATTTTTTCTATATAAATATACTTATATTTGTGCCAGTATATGTATTCTATCCGTTATCCTAGTATCCCGTAACACAAGCCTTTGAGCGCTTACTTTGGGGCTAGGCTAATTGGTGTGACTGATGGAAATATATATTTATTTAATATGGTTCCATTTTACTCTTTGGGTAAGTAACCCCTAAAAAAGAAGTGTTGCAATTTAAATATGTTAATGCGGAACAAAGTTTGGAATTTACTTATAGATTAAAAAAACAAACACAAAAGACCAGTTAAATTTGAGTCGGACTCGAAGAAAAGAAAAAAATAGTCGAAAAAATCAGGTAACATATACATATTTTTTTTTAACTTTATTCACAACAATTAATAAAATTAATTAGTTGCTGCATAATAAACATAGAACACGCATTCTGTGAAAAATTTCAGCTCCATTCAAAAGATGGATACATAGAGCCCTGTAACAGATAAACAAGTAAAGAAAACATAATTAATAGGGTTCTTTCTGTCACCCTTTGGGTACGGAACCCTTCAAACGACAGAATTAGTAATGTTTTAATCTATATATCTTCTTCTTCTGTCTTTCTTCTATATAAATAAAAATTGAATCGCTGAAATGTATGTACGCGCATAACTTTCCAACGGCTGCACCAAAAGGTATTTTTTTTTATTCTGTTCGTTCGTTGCTGTCAAGACAAGGTTGGATCACTAAACTTGTAATCACTACGTTAAATTTTGTTTGAATTTAATTAAATGAAACCTTTAAATACAAATAAATGAACCTTTGAATTTGGAGCTATGAAGTTCGCCGGGTTAGCTAGTTCTATAAATATGACTTGCGACCTATCCGTTGCTTTATCGGTTCCTGTTTTAGGTACTAATAAATTATCCTATATCCTAGGATGCTAACTTCAATGATACTTGATACATTTGTTAAATCTTGATCAGAGTTGTTTTTGTCAGATCTTAAGTAAACAAAATAAGCTTATTTGATAATCAGGACATTAAATAAAACTGGTTTTTACGGGTTAATGCACGAAACTTTATTTATTTATTGATGTTTCGTAGCCTTTACAGGCTACGTCGTCAGACGTCGTCGTCGTGCATTAACCCGTAAAAACTAGTTTTATTTAATGAGTGATGTGCGTGAAAACCTAAGAAACAAATAAATTAGGACATCAGTTTAAAATATGAAACAGACACTCAAAGGACATTGCTCGTTCCCCATACATTGAATGCCCTAGAACGCCCAGCAATGAGAAAATGCTAGTTATGTTCGGAATCATTCATAAACTCTATATAGGCATTTGTTGAGATACGGACAACTTGAGGAACCGTGGCCTACTACAGAATGTAGTTGATTTTGAGGTTATAATTATTATACTTAATCGTAAAAGATGTACACTTTATATATTCTGAATAGATTTAGTGTTTACCTCTATGCAAGCACTTAAATAATATACATTAAATGAACATAAAATGCAATTAATAATAAAAATATTAAATGCTTATATTCATATTGATTAATGAGTGTTGTCAGTTGGCACCTACGATACCTATACCTTACCTGTAGTAATAATAGATTTCTTTTCAAATGAAATGTTCAGTCTTTCCATTTACCTGTTTCTATATTTTACTATCGGTAATTAGGTATGTACCTGGTTATCATTATGATTTTCATAAAAATAAACAGATATTATATGGGATGGGAGTATAAACTATCTTTACATAATTTCAGAAATAATCTTTTTATAAATATAATACTAGTAATAAGTATTATTAACTAAGGTATCTCTATTTTTCTTTTGATAAATACCTATGGTCGCCTCTAATGCATTTATTAAGGTAAACAATCTTGGCACAACTTTTTAACAGAATCACCCATTTAATAATAAAATATTAACGAAGCCAATAAACTATTAAAATAAATCGTTATTATAGACTGAAACCTTTTGAATCCAGTTATCAGTTGATTTTTAATGCTGTTTTTTCAATAAAAAGGAGTGCCAAGTTGGATGAATAGACTGTAGTATCTAGTAACAGAACTTTATTTTTTTATTTTTTTAAACAGATTGTCCGTTTACTATGATTAATTGCTAATATGTTAAAAAAATAATAGAAAGATAATAGTGAAGGACATTCTTTTGGGCATGCTAGGGCCGATTTCGTCGATGTCCTTTTACAAAGTAAAATAATTAACCTAAAACTAAAAAAATATAATCACCATCATCATCAACAGCCTATCATAGTCCACTGCTGGACATAGGCCTCTCCAAATGCCCGCCACTCAGATCGATCTTGGGCTACTCTATGCACAAGAAACGTAAAAAATATAATATAATAACTAAAATATATTATTAAATCTATTGTTATATCTAAAATTGGTACATTTATTAAGCAACTAGCAACTTTTGGTGTCGGTGCCATATCTGAGTAGCTGTTTAGATGGTTTAGGTAAGTTATGTAAGTACTGCTCGAGTTGACAACGACTGCAAATGTTTTGATAGATACATATTTTTTTAAGATTCCTTTTATATTTAGGCAATGGGTAACAATTACGTCTGTGACTAAGACGGCTTTTTTTAAAAAAGATTAATATGTCAACGCAACGTCTGTGGCCTAGTAGTGCCAAAGCTCAAAAGTATGACCCACAGAAATTAAGAAATCATCAATCTTGATATACCTATTTCTGTGGTTATTACCTGCTGCTGCTATCATTAAGGAGCTGTTTATCGATACATTTCAAATTTACATGGCAAAAAAAAAGAACTTTGAGAGAGTCGGTCAACCAATTCGCGGTACAACGATATAAAATCTCTTCCTTTTGAAGTCATTTGTTATCAAAAAAAATCAAAGCGATATAATATATTTAGTGATTTACGGAACGACCATGAATTATTATCATTTGCTTAAAAGATTATATTGGATAACAACAAACACTTGAAAACGATAATGAAATTCTATGACGTCCGGATTGACTGAGAGACCAACATGAATATTTTTTTAAACTTAAAAAACCCACCGACCACTGTTAAATAATAATACGTTGAATCTGGTAGTGAGTAGGGTTCCAGTGCGCTCGAACTGGTAGAATAATGGGTTCGGTGCGTTTGTCCTGGACGATCCCTTTTTTTTCATACAAAACGCGCGGTGCGGCAACAGTGCGGCGCCGGTACCGCGAACGCTCGACAACAAGACTGTTGCAGCACCGCGCGTTTTGTATGAAAAAAAAGGATCGTCCGTACGCTGTACGACAAACGCACCGCTTCGGCACCGCAGCAGGCCGTCAAGAAACGCATAAATTGAAAGAGCCCTTAGTACACAACTGATTACACACAATACGCTACGAAACAGCTGACGATCGTGACAGAAAATCGTGACGGAAAAATCTTACACTTTTTTCCGCCTAGCCCCCATCCGCCAAGTCCGCACCGTGCGATAAGGAACTTCGTTCTAATAAAAAACAAAAAGGACAGGTCTGGTTAAAAAAACAGTTTTCAATGATTTCTTCATTTAAATAAAAACAAGAGATTCTGGAATTTTCATAGGTATAACACGTAGTACCTAAACCTTTAAAAAACTTTTGGTTTTCTCGATATACCTACCTATTACTTAGTAGATATTTTTGTTGTGTTTGAATTTTAGGAAAATACACCAGAAAATAGCAATAAGGTGT